GGGGAACGATCAGTCGGCTCGAGAGTGAGGAAGAAGGGGAGGTCGGTGACCGTCTGATCGAAGAAGCGCTGGGTCTTGTCATCCCCTAGGGTAAMRGAGATGGGAGTCGGAGACCCTGTCGTGGGTAAGCGGGCTTCCTTCACCACGCGTGGGTGAATGAAGTCGCCCTGAGAACCGGAATCCCACAGCGCTGAGTACACCCTCGTGGAGGTCCCGAGTCGTACTGGGATGATCGGGAAGGTGCGATCAAGGTCAGAGAGGATGGCGAGAAGGCGACGCAGTGCAGCGACATTGAGGGTGAGTCGCTCCTGACGAGCCTGGAGCATGCTCAAGTCCAGATTAGAGGACACAACGTCCTCACGAGTAGCAAGTTGCTCGCTGCAACGGGCTGAGCGAATGGCTCGACGCGTCTTTAGTCGCGGCGGGGAAGGAGGGGAGACGGTGGTCTACGGAGGCGCAGACGGTACTGCGACAGAGGGCTGAGTACACTCTGTCGAGTCCTGCGATACCTCAACTCCAGTAGCAAGAGGGGCGAACTGCGACGGAGATGTCGRGAAGCCCACTACTGAGGAGGGCGCAAGTGTACACTGCACCGTGGCTAGGAGGCGTCGCGGGGACGTGAGGCGCCGGGGGGGGACTGAGCACGAGAAAGATCAGCGTAGTGACGGTCGAGGGCGGTAGTGTAAGGGCACCGCAAGGAGGTATGACCGTCCAAGCAGCAACGCAAACACCCACGTCGGCCCAGAATAGCCGTGCGCTCCTCAGCGGAAAGGACACCGCGAGGAGGGACGAAGCCCTGAGGGAGGTCCTCCTGAGGGACCTCGGGGGGCGACGCGCCAGCGTGCCCGGGGCGGCTGCGTGCCCAAGAGAGGGCAGAGAGCGCGAGCTGAAGGCGCTCAGCTGCAGGGAGGGTCGAGTCCTCCAAGTGATAGTGGACGGCCTCGCAGAGATCGAGGTCATCGCTGTGGTCGCCCTCATGTGACAGTGGGGCAACAACGTCCTGCTCACCATACTCCAGCGCGCTGAAGCGGCGCGAGAAGTGGCGGCCCTGCTGAGTGGAACGGCGGGGGCGACCGCGGAAAGGGGAACGGCGTTGGGATGTGTCGTGAGAGGAGGAGGAGGCGTAGCCCGTGCGCTGGGGCTGGGAGGAGGAGGCGGGGTGAAGACGGGCTCGCATCCGTTGGTGGTCCCTAGCGGCTTCGTAAGCCTGTGGGGCTGATGTGAACTCGTACCGCCATAGCTCGGAGCGGTAGTCGAGCGGAAGGCTGGCCAAAAAACGATCGATAAGGGCAGCCTCGGGGAGGAACGCCACGTCACAAACGAGGCGGGCGTCCTGAAAGACCTGGATGTGGCGATCCAGGCCGGTAGCGCCACCAGAGTCGGACCAGCGTGTAGTGACGACACGCTCGAAKGCGTCRRTCACGTCGTATCGGGCTCCGAACCGATYCTCGAGGAACGCCTGGAAATCCACGAAGGTCGGAGTCCGACCCTCACGAAGGGAGTAGGCATAGAAATCCTCCCAGGCCTCGAAAGGACCGCCACGCAGGCGCGTGGAGAGGTGACCCACCCACGTCTCGGGTGTGGCGCCCATGAGCTCGAGTGTGCGGGTGGCAGACTGCAGCCACCGAGACACGCGTATGCCTGTACCGTCATACAAGGCAATGTCCGACAAGCGGATGAGTGGTGCGCCACCGTTTTGGCGGCGAGGGGATCGAGGAGCGGAGGCCTGTGCCACGACTGAGTAAGTCGGCGCAGGTTCTGGAGAAAGGGGCGCAACTGACTGTGCGACCGGGCCGCATGGGGGAGCGGCGGTGGCAACAGCAGCCGGTTGCGAGGGTGCTACGGTAGAAGAGGTCGCAGCAACCGCGGGAGTAGGAAGAAGGTTGGAAGGAGTTGTATAGGGTGCAGGGCACGGAAAGCGAGCCTGCATAGGAGGAAGGGTAGAGGAGGTAGGGGGTGCGCCCGAAGGCGCGGCCACCTGTGAGGGTGGGGGTGGCTGAAGGCATAAGAGGGCGAGGTCGGCCCGGAGCTGGGCAATCTCGTCCGCGAGACCTCGAACATAGGTCAATCGAGGGGTGGCGGGAGGAAGAGTGGAGGGGGTGGATGCACAAGCGGCGCGGGGCATCCCAGAGGGGGGAGAGCCAGGTGGCGCTGCGGTCGTGCGAAGGGGGGGGAGGAGCGGGCCACCCGGAAAAACTGAGACCATGGTAGCGGGTTGTTGTACCGTGGCCGTAGTGACCGGGATCTGGGCAGCTGCGCCCGTAGACTGAGGGGGGGCCTGGCTCGTGGCGGCCGTCGTGCTAGGGGCGTG